GCTATATCGTAAATTGTCTCTGACTTGCAAGTTACCCATTCACCCTTCAGCTTCAACGCCCACGTGAATGAAGGAAACTTTAGAAAACTCTGTTTGATTTTATTCTCAGATTTCCACGATACACAGAATATAAATCTTATAACATTTATCCCTACTAGCTTTGAATGGTTTACATCGTCTTCTCCCCCTATCGAAAGATATCGGAGTCGTATTTATACGTTGATCATAAATCCAATTAAATGCTGTAAACGTGAGCTCGTGATTTACATTATAAACAGAAATTCCTATTATCTCAACAAGGGTAATTAGGTACATCGTACGGATGGGAACTTAGATATAATTATTTCAATCAGTAACAAAGGTCTTGAGAATATAGATTTTAATTTGATAATGACTGGATGGAACCTGTTATGTTCTTAAACCTGGTGTAATTTGATTCTTACGAAAGTCTTTGTTCGAATTTTGGGAAAAATTAACTTTGTCATGATGATTTCAACATGAAATGGGGTACATTTGGGGGTTAGTTGCTATAACACCTTAGAAAAAACGATGCTTTTGAAAAAATGTGTGGCATTTACAGGAGACAACTGTAAATGCCTTATTGAAGAGAATTAGATCTCCAGAAAAATATGCATGGTCAAAAGAGTAAGTTTGCAGTGACTTGACTCACAAGCGTGTATGTAATTTGTTTTAAGCTGTAATCACTGGGCTTACTTATTGGCACAACCTAATTCTCAATATTATTTTCCACTCTGAACTTGAGATTCATTTAGAGCAGTGGTCGGCAAACTTTATGTACTTGCGGGCCAAATATACACATTTCCGGTAGCGCGCGGGCCGCAATAATTCCGCTTTCGAACAATCATTACATTAAACTTCCAATTATGGCGCATTCGCAGCTTCTATTGCTGTGTTAAAAGCCCGCCACAATGAGATGTGTATGTGGCGTTTTTTCAATATATTATCTAACAATACATTGTTTTTTATTACCTATTATCAATGTGAAGGATGATGTTTTTATGGCAACTTGCCCGCGGTACGTCGTCCAAATGACTAGTATAAAATTTATTGTAAGTGTAATGCATTTTGGATTAAGCTGCTGACTGCAATATGAGCTTACGAACGTGCAGATTACACGTTTTGCACTGTCGCACAAATGAGCTGTGGCTTAGTCTCGGGTATCGGGGTCGAATTTTCGATGAGACGTTTCGTAACGAGTAGAACATTAAATACCTTAAATATTTGCGATGCTGACCGGACATATGAAGCTGGTTTTGGAATGCGCGAGAAAGAAAAATATATTTGCGTCCAAGCACTTTGGAATCGTCGCGAACTTCCCTCCGTTTCCAAGACAATTTTAATATCAAAATTAACTCGAACGGCATAGAACTGACGCTACTCATTACAAAACAAGCGTCGTACAGCAGCACTTGTTATCACATAAATCTGTGTGTGGACAATAATAAATTAAGGATCAATTTTTGTTATATGTATTAAATGTCGGGTCTAACGAGGGCCGCAATAAATCAGCTCGCCGGTCGCATTCGGCCCGCGGGCCGCAGTTTGCCGACCCCTGATTTAGAGCTATATTTAGAGAGTGCCCGCCTGGCGCGTTGGAATGAGTATCGTACAGCGTTTGCAGCCTTAGAATTTCGGTAGCGCATATATATGGTCTCGTTGAAATATGGAGCTCCGGAAGTATGTGCACCAAGATGGCGCACAACCTGAACATAGTATAGGTTGTGCGCCATCTTGGTGCACATACCTCGGGAGCGCCGAAAATACTCATGCACTGTCCGGAATTTTGCTTCTTCAAATATGGTAACCCTAGCCTAGAATCCAGAGGGCGACCCATTAGACAGTCATGCATGGATATTCATGCACATGCACTGAAATTGCTAAACACATATTTAAAAACAAAAATGTAAAATAAAACGCTTCTTAGAGGCTGTTTCTCACTATATATAGTCAAATTCCGGGTGTCCATGCTGTATTTTAAATCAATATTTTGCCCAGATAAATCAAATTTCACTATATATAGTGGTCCCGATAAAATCACATCTATGTAATTGGGTGGCTGTAGTCTTCCTTCTTTCTTTTTGATTCAATCACAAAGAGGAGGGTGAACAACAACACAGAAACATAACAATTGATTAAATATCAGAATCTTTAGGATCTTTTCATTCGTTGACAATGTGTATTATATTTTATTTTTCTTGGGAATTTTCGTTTCGGTTACTGAAGCAATTCACTGATGAAATCGGCATACAATATACAGCATATTTAATTGTTAAAAGGAACACGCATATTTCAATAAAATCTCCTGTACTGCGGCATATATATATATAAAACTGTTCTGTATTGCCCGCTAGTGAATAGAAATAAAAGTTTTATCAGAATTGTCCATGTTTATTAACGTCCAAATATTCCCACTTATAAACTTTTCTTCTTAAAAATTCTGAAACACTCTTTATTTGTATTCATGAAAAAAGCAAAATCCTTTTGAATAAATTTCATGAATATTAACGTGGTAGTGTTTTTGTTTTCTTACAAATGTTGGCCATCAACATAATGGTACACGCGACCAGGACTCTGCAGGACATACTCTACAATTCATATAACTGATTAAAATAGATTTGATATTAGATAACGATGCATTTTTTTGAGTATTTAAGGAAAATTTTCAACGAGATGCTTTTGGACCTCCATTTCAACAACAAGATGACAAAAATACTGAATATAATAATAATAAATCTTCAAGTGGTATCATTCAGACGGGCATTTTATTCTTCAACTAATGAAGGTGATCTATCTAGTAATTGACGAGAAAATTATTTTACCCGAGTCATTTTCAATTCTACCATAAGTTTTTGATGGCATAATGACTGCTTGCGCACCTACGCAAAATCCGTTCTCGCGAATATACGTTCTTGTGAAACTCGTATTTGCGAAACTATGTACTTTCGTTTTAACAAAACAATAAAATTTATTCCGTTAAAATCGTTAGTCGCCCAAAAGTCGGTCCAAAAAATGCAACACACCAAATTACATTCTACAGAATATTGGTTCTCAAAAACTGTATTCGCAGAAATTTGTCGCCGAAATATTTATTTTTGAGATTATTTTTAAAATGTCTTTGACAACATGATTTATTTGGGGCTGTTGGTAAATATTTCCAAAGAGTATGAGCGTTCGAATGCAAATATAAGGCAAATATTATATGGCCAAAAGTACGAGGTGAACTTAGTTCAGTTTTTTGCATATTATAGCCATTAAGGCATGTGGTTTCTTTATCTTCTCTAAAATTCTGTTTCCAGTCACCGGATCAACATATTCCGTATACTTTCGTTGTTTACAAATTTCAAATCCAGATCTGCATGCGTGTAATAAAGTGTAAGTACTTGTGCAAATCCCGGTCAAAATCAGGAAGCTTTTAATTTATCGTAGCTCTGTTTAGTTTGAACTAAAATCAGTTTTACCTTTTGAGAAACTCAGTAGCTATCCCCTTTCTTCCGTCCTCTGGTCTCACAGCTGCCAAAAACATTTCCATGTACTTAGTGGTGCCAAACTTTTCTGCCAAGTTTAGTCCGAAGAAGTATAATATCATCTGAATATAGATGGGCCGATTAAAAATCTCCGAGGAAAATTGGTGAAGAATACATACTTTATCTGTACAAATTAACGATAGGCTATATATGAGTGCTGCATAACTAGCTACATTTTGCGAAATCTTTGTCATTGGCAAAACGTGAGTTCAAATATCCCATATATGAACAACCAGGGCTTCCATATCGTCCGTATACTTAAATTATATTTCACACGTGTGCCTTATTAAATACATTTGTCCTTATTTATAATATTCTTCCCCATTTTTAAGTCCGTCCTTATTTTGTTCTATTTTCCATCTTAGAGCCAAATCGGACATATAGGTATAAGGTACACATTCATGATCATAAAATTGAGTTTTATTTAAAAGCAGCATTTTTTCTTCGTGTAAGTGCGCGTAAATTTTCCCCGATAATTTGGTGCCGCACAAACAAAAAGTTTCAGAACCACTTGCATAACCTACACCCCTCATCGTCAAGTCCTGGTTATTCCTAATATTCCAAAAAAAAATTAGTACGCTAACGTAAGGTATCAAAGGACTTACTAACAGATAACACAATTAGTCGTTGGGATATTTATTATTAAAAACGGCACTGAAGAAGATTTAGATATTAATTAGACTCGATCATTGAACATAGACGTTTGCTTTTTCTATCCCTCGTGCCTTTTAGACAGATATCACAACCAGGGGCGCAGCCAGGATTTTTTCAAGGGGGGGGGGGGGTTACGGTGAAATAAAAACGCGTTTATAGGTCTTTAAAAAGATGTTCCGATGATGGCAAAACAACATGTGCGGCGCTGTGTCTCATTAGCTTTTTTTTTTTGCATGTGCTACTCTCAGCAATCGCCGACCCTTCTCTCACTACGCCCGTAACTATATTACTGAGAGTGAATTCGTCGTGAATTTAAATTCCCGTGATATCTGCACATAATGCTTCTCTACTTTTAGCGGCGATTTATTAACATAAATTACCAGTTTGTTAATAATGCATGCTATTGTTTTTGGCAACAGGGTTAAACTAGTTTATCGTTGTTTCAAGCAAGAAAATAAGCATTTGTTTTTTTCGCTTATTCAGCAATCGTAATTCAAATATTACCCTATGCGCAAGTCTTCACTCCGCGGGGTGTCCTTGCGTTTTCGAGTTTCAAAGTGATGCCGAAATTGCCGATGATAGAGAAACACCGACACATGTGGCTCTTTGTCGCCCGGCCCCGCCCCCCCTTGACAGGCGTCAATTAGTTTATTTTGTTTTGGGATGTCCCATTTCAACCTTTTGGTAATCGCCGATTATTACCCCATTGTCAACGGTTAAATAAAATGCCACACATGATTTTAACTGAAATAACGCAAAAAATGTAAAATGAGAATAGAATGAAATATCAGCAATCATGAAACATGAAGAAATAGCATAAATTCATGATATTTGCCAAATGCCAATGGTTCATAAACTATTTTTGAGTGCGTCACGAAATATCAATCCATTTCCAAAATAAATATATTTGATGTTCCCGTATTTATAACTTCATAAAACGATCGATCGTTTAAAAACAAGCTCATTTATCGTACTAATTGAGAACGTCTTTCAATGTAGAACTCTTGCTTGTTGCAATTAACTGGTAATAAACCCTAATTTATTTATTTATTGTAGTGACCTATTTGAAATCCCGCGCCCATGATAGCTGCATTCTGCGCATAGCGCTTCTTCACTCTCAGCGGTGATTTATTAACATATTGTTACCAGTTAATTAAAAAGAACTGAAAGACAACGCATGTAACTGCTTTTCGCAGACAGGGTTAAATTCGGTTCTTGCCGTTTTAAAGCAAGAAAAAAAAATCCCTACTCGCTTTAGCTGGATGACAATCTTTAATATGCATTTATTCTATTCGCTGATTCGACAATCGTTATTGAGCGTCTTCGTCAGTCGATATTTATTGCAATTGCGATCAAAATTTACAATGAGTGAACGTCCAGCAAAACAAGCAAAATTATTAAGTTATTTTATTCAGCAAAACCCTTCAGTTCAGACAGAACCCGGAACTTCATCGACCAGTGCTACTAGTGAAATTCATCCAGACTTGACTCATCCAGACTTCGTCATAGGTAGTGAATTGGACATTGGTGCATACGATTCAAAAGAAAAACCCTCGGACCAACAGAAGTACAACTTTTTGACAAACACTTGGAAACCTAAATCTTTATACAAATTTCCCAGAGTTGAGAGGAAAGTAAAAGGAAAGGTCAGATATGTGTCATTTCAGAGAAAATGGCTAGATGATTATAAATGGTTGGCATATAGCCCATCGCAAAATGGTGGATTCTGCAAATCATGCAGGATATTTGCCCCCGAAAGAGTGAGTGGTGTTCAGCTGCAGGTGCTTGTTAAAAAGCCTATGAACAATTACAAAGATGCTACCTCTATTTTAGCAGCGCATGCCACAAAGGAGTATCACCAGCTCGCACACACGAAAGCCGAAAATTTCATACAAATACAAAGATCATCGCGTGGAAATGTTGTGGAGCAAATGTCACAGAATAGAGCAAATCGAGCGCATGAAAATAGAAAGGGAATGTTGTCGTTGATCAACATAGTAAAATTGTGTGGCCGACAAATGCTTTCCTTTCGTGGGCACAGAGATTTTGGGAAAATTGACCAACCCGAAGACTTCGAAACGAACGAGAATGAAGGAAATTTCCGTGCTCTGGTCCGATTCCGAATTCAATCTGGCGACGAAGATTTGCGCAGATTTATTCTTAGCTCTGGAATAAACGCGCAATATACTAGCTGGAGCACACAAAATGAAATCGTGCAACTCTGCGGGGGATTTGTTCGAAAGGCTTTGGTGCAAAGAATATCAGAATCCGGCTATTTTTCTGTGCTAGCTGATGAAACCAGTGATGTTTCAAACTGTGAACAATTTTCGATTTGTGTGCGATATGTACACAAGCCTTTCGAAGGAAAGTACGAACTGCGCGAGGATTTTCTCGGTTTTGTCGAGGCTAAATCCTTGACAGGAGAATATCTGGCGAACCTGTTGTTGAAAACTTTGGCTGAATGGGGATTGGAGTTGAACCAATTGCGTGGCCAAGGATACGACGGCGCCGCAAATATGTCAGGGAGTTTCCGCGGTGTACAAGCTTGGATTGAAGAACAATACCCCAAGGCGTTATTTACCCATTGTAGATCACATTGCCTAAACCTCGTCATTGGACAGGCTTGTCAAGTTTTTTCTATACAAAAATCCCTCCGTGTCATGAAGGAAGCGATTGTTTTCATTTCCAATAGTCCAAAGCGAATGGCGTGCTTAACGAATGCTATCACGGCCCTCACACCACAAAGTCGGCACACCCGGCTAAAATCGTTGTGCGAAATGCGATGGGTGCAACGACACGAAGCAGTGGCAGTTTTTCACGAGCTGTATTCGCCAGTTCTACATGCACTCAATGAAATTGAAAGAACATCTGATTCTGTATCATCCGACAAAGCAGAAGCTTTACAAATGCGAATGAGAACAATTGAATTTGTTTCTAATATAAACATTCTGGCTCACACATTGGCTCTCACCCATAGTTTATCAGTCGCCCTACAATCAAAAACAATTGACTTGAAAGAATGCGCTGATATGATAAAAAACGTCAAAATTTGTTTGGAATCACGACTGGCAAATGCAGAAAGGGAGTTTGAAAAAATATTCAAAGATATAGAAACAACCCTGGAAAAGGAAGAGATTTCCACTACAACAAGGGGATTGCGCTCGAGTGCGACTGAAGATGTGAAAACCGCTATGCTGCTACGGAATTATAAGCCCTTTCTGAGGTCTATTGTGGACTGCCTAGATGCTAGATTTGGTGACTCGTTCCAACAAGCAACAAAAAGTTTTTCAATCGTCCCTTATCATATGAGAACACGTAAGTTACTATCGAGTCAATTGCAACATTTAAACATCAACATGTAATATAATTATTAATATTATTCTCATATTATTATTACAGACCCAGACACAGTTTTCGCGATGGAACATTTCCAAACATATTCCGACGAACTGGATTCCTGGCCGATAGTCGAAGCTGAAATAACGATGTGGCAGCAGAAGTTTGCCGACGTACATGTAAATGATCTTCCTGCCAACGCATTCTCCGCACTTGAGTTCGCTTCGCTCGATTTTTTTCCAAATATTCATAAGCTTCTTCAGGTTAGGAATATTTTAGTTATTTTTGGAAAATATAAAATATTCAATTTGTATAAAATAATTCAATATTTAAATATTAAAGATCCTGTCAACTCTTCCCGTGACAACAGCTACGGCGGAAAGATCATTCTCATCGATGCGAAGACTAAAAACATATTTGCGTAACACCATGCAAGAAGAGAGAATGAACGGACTTGCGTTAATGGCCATCCATCGAGATGTTAAAATCGATTCCAAACGAGTCTTGGACGAGTTTGCTACCCAAAAATCTCGAAGATTGAACATTATTCTTTAATATTTTTTTTATCGAAAATTGAACATTATTTTGCAATGCTTTGTTTTCGAAAATTGAATAATATTTTATGACACTTTTTCTTCGATGCTGCCACATTTAGCAATCCTTTGTTAATAAACCATACATTTCCAATAATTCATTTTGTTTGTTATTCGCTTATGAACCTGGTGCAATCGCTTGTTAAAGATGCACTACATAACTAAAATTCGTAATTAGCGATAAGCCGATAACGTATGTGATTAAAAGTATGGATGCGTGGAATGTGGCGAGGCGAGAGCGCGCTTGTGAAATTGTTGAATGTGGCGAGGCAAGAGCGCTATTTGTGTCAAGTGACTGTAACCCCCCGCTGGCAGCGATAACGAATGGTAAACATGATTATGAAAGTCGGACGCTGCGCGAAAGTGATAACCGCAAAGAACAAAATTATTGTAAGTAAACGTAACACTAATAAAGAAAAAAAAACGATTTCAAACGGGGGGGGGGGGGGGGGGGGGGGGGGGTTACGACCCATGTAACCCCCCCCCCCCCCCCCCCCCCCCTGGCTGCGCCCCTGATCACAACAAAAACCGAGACATGATAAGATAACGGGTTTTAGTGTAAGTCGCATGGGCTATATACAGTGATTGGATTCAAATTTTACGAACGACTTTTCTTTTCTATCGAAATCGCAACAAGTTACCTCCTTATTTCAGAAGTACATGCCAAACTAAAACAAGAACGGGTTCCTGATTATCATGACATTACAAAAACGAGTTGGTGAGAACCACCTGAATCACACCACTGGCAACATCTACATGCTACTGCAATTCATCTCCGTGTCCACATATTTGGCCTTACCCGCTTGTTTTAGTGTCACATATATGGCCGTAACCGACCACCGGCGAGGAGTCCACCAATCCTCTTGCACATAATTAATAATTACACAGTATACACCATGCGAACACATGAAGGGTAATCAGTGGTGCTGTGACAAGCGTATTTCTAACACTTAGCACGACGCGCCACACGGGGGAGTCACGTAATACCTTTTTACCTCGTGATACTGGCGGATGGTTCCCGTACATTTGAACCCACGACAATTGCACCTGTATATATTGCACCTATGGAATTTTTGTTTTGCGGATATTTGAACCCATACTAACCCTAACCCTAATTGTTTTTCAACATCGTAAGGAAGTGAAGGCAGTTTATCTTCGTTTACCTCCAAAAAGTTTATTATAATTCCAGAAAGTTGACCTATTTCTTCGTGATATGCACCAATACTCACATTTTGCCACAAAGCATTCTAAAAGTTTGGTTTATATAAAGTATATATATCGAAATTTTTTGAGAAACATGAAAATTTAGTTTTTAAATTTTTACATTGAGGCGGAATGCATGTAAGTTTTCGTGAAACTTGATGACGACATATAAACGCTGAAGTAGAATTTGATAATGTCACTTTGCAATTTTTCATATGAAAAGACTGAAATTATACTTACAAAGTGCGTTAGTCAAGAAGTCAGAGTTCCACACACAGTTCACACACAATATTCAACACTACTGTACGACGATATGTAGTCAAAAAATTTCAACTGTACAACCAGAAATCTTGAAGAGTAAATTGTCTATATTAACCATGTATGATTAGCACGTACTTTTACGTGCGGTCCAAACATGACTCGTCCCTCCACCGGTGTCATTTACAAATGAGTTGCCAATGGATCGCCGCCAACAAAATACTCAACCATAAAATCAGTGACCACTTCAAAATCAGCAATATCCAACATACGATACTCATATTCTTCTTTTTACATTATGACATTGAGAACTTGGATGTGTCACAGAATAAATCTTACAATAATAATATCGAAGTTTCAAAGCAAAGGATCGTATAATTCCTTAGTATTTATTCACCTGTGGAATTTTTTCAAATACCACAAGTATTTTTAAGTAGTCTGGTTAGGAAGTGACCTTGCTGTTCTATTTATTGATACAATTTATGGAAGAATGTGCTGGGCTAGCTGGATTTGTAAATTGACATCCTGTGAGCAACAAGTACACTGAGTGATTGAAATAGGATGTTAGGATGATTCAAAAAGATGCTAGTGTAATGGTTAAGTTGGGAAAAAGCTTTATCCCACTCAAAGCTATCCAAGTAAATATTTCAAATTTATCTACCTACGCCGTGTTCATATTTATCTACTATCTATTTCGATATTGCTAGACATTTTCCCAAATAACCTGCTCATTCTGACATGTGGATAATCGACTATTTACGTAAACAAAGCAACAGCGCATAAAAAGAACCTGTTTGAAAAATGTTGTAATTTAAAATTCACTGGCGTAGAATAACAGATTCGTTTGTCGGAATTCCAAGGCTTGACTGGAACCACAAAGCCTCAATCACGACACCAGGTTTTGATATAATTCTCGTACAGTAACATGACCTTTATTGAGGCAATATGACGCTCTATCGCTCATACGTTAATCCTCCAATCCTTGTGCGAGCATTATCACAATTGACTTTACTCGTGGAACACCAGAATACGGGTGTCGTGGTAAATTTTACTTAGGGTCAAAATGTTTCTCGAGAAGATTCAAAGTAGCAGTAGTCGTATGGCAAGGCCGCGGCATCACAGAACAAATTGTGGAGCAAGCAGCAACTCGCAAACTCGTGGCAATTGTCAATGATTTAGCCAACTAACCAGGGCCGGATTTAGACGATGTGAGGCCCTAGCTACCTCATTCGTAATTTTTTGAAGTTGAAGAGGTAGAGATTTTCGAATTTAGATTCATTCATTATACTGTATTAAAAATTTTATTCTTTTATTCGGTAAATAATTGGGACAAGAATTATTGCAAAATTAAACAAAATAAGTTTTATGAAATTTTAAACCAGTTTTAATTTTGGAACAAGACTTTAAAATTAAAAAAAGACTTGGAAATGAATAATTGTTCAAAAATAAATGTTGACCCCTGAATTTTCAGCCTACCTTGCCTAATGGTAAACTCGCCCTGCAAACCATATTAAACAGAGTAGACCCATTTCTTGGTTTCTTTAGGGCACATCCAAAATGCCATCATTCCGAAGTGTATGATAACTTAGAAATAGCCTTGTATGCGATGCTGCAGTTGAAACGTGTCTGATAGGACTCTCGACCTAAACTAATATATATTTATCTTCTGTTAGGGTTAAAGAATTTTAGTTGTGCGTATCGTATATAATAGTAGTTGGCGTATTAAAACGTGTTTGCATTTTGCGAAAGTGGCATTCGTGACCAATATCACTTCGTAAACGGAGTTTCACATTGTGTTTGTTTTAAATGACAGAAATGACATTTGAATAGTAAATGCAACTTTCCCGATAGGGGGAAGGCCGATACAACATTTGAACAATATGACTTTATATCGTCTTTTCCATCATCGGCCCGACTAGTTACTTGATTCAGATATATGAACCTAATTGACGTGATAATTTTTCTGTCATAACAATTTTTTTGGATGAGAAAGGAATAAAAATAGGTATCATGGGAATTTTATTTAGGATGAAAAATTGTAGCACACGACCTGTAAATCATTTTTTCAAATTGTATACATTGTTGTTTTTGTTGCTTTAGAAATGAAAAGTTTTGAATTTTCCAGGAGTTGTAGATGGGAGTGTCTTCTAATCTAGGTTCTACAACGCCTTAATTGGACACGACATATGGATCGTTCTGTTATTATGTTATTGTCAGTAACGTATCTACGGAAAATGGCGCCCATGGCAAAGTTTAAAAATGCGCCAAATTTTGATGGCGTCATAGCACACGAAAAAACGATAATTAAAAGTAATAGCCCTCGAGCGAAAAATATAATCTTCACTCACTGAAAATTTCAAAGCAATTGGTCCAGTAATCAAGGAGAAAAGCGATTTTTCAAAACGATACGAAGAAAAAGACCAACAAGAACAAGATTACCAAAAATATGAAAACGATCCATAGGTCCAGACTCCACAAATCAGACCAACTAATCAATGTGTACTGTAGACTGATTTAATCACAACAACACTTCAAAATTTGATTTTTCTTTGGTATGATGTGATTATTGTAAATTTATGAGGAGTCTCTTGAAATGGCCGTTTTTTTTGACCAATGTGAACAGCAATTTTACGCATCGAAAAAAGTTATTTGTTTGCTACATTGAAGATACCGTATATATAATACCTTTAATAGTATTAAAAATATATTCACATTGAATCATTATCAGAGTATACCCTTAAAATTACGAAATATACCCCATACCCAAATGACTAGTTGAGATTCTTATATATCATGGCCAACAAAACATGTGGTTTTTCCATATTTTCCAAAATTTTGTTGCCAGTCACGGGATCAACATAATCGGCATACGTTATCTGTTTCTTAATTTCAAATCCAATATTCTGCGTGGCCCTCAAAGTAAAAGCACTCGTGCAAATAGCAGTAATTATTTTCATTCCGCGTTGTCGAGCAATATTTTCGGTCCTGTATGAAAGCAAGATAATTTTATAAATACCAGGAACTTGTGTCCAATAGCTAGCTGACTTCTCTTAGGATAAGGATAAGAATTTACATAATTTTCCCGGGAAGAGGAAAGCCGATAAGACGGCTTAGCCATATGGCGAACCACGGTGTCTCGTCCGATTACCATTCCATGTCGGGTATGGGATTGGTTAGTTATTTGTTTTTCGGAAGCATGGACTCGATGGTAGAGGAAGCCGTAACCGACCAGCGGTTACGTGAACCACCCTACGGCGGCGAGGAGTCCAGCAATCCTCTCGCACATAACTATCCCGCATGGGATTCGAACCTGCGAACCCACGCAGAGTAATTAGCGGTGCGGTGGCGAGCGTATTCCTAACGCTTAGCACGATGAGCCCACACCGCCGCGTGTTATTGTTTTATCATCGCTTTGGACAAGGCCGTAGATAAAAAAAAAATTAGCTGTAGAATTGAAAGTCAGCTATTTCAGCAACTCATAGATGGATTTTGCAATCCTTAACGAACCGAATATTTATGGGTAAGTTGTGTTCTAGACGTGATTCCTGCTTAGATTATCACTGGTTTTAGCAAGAATTCAATTCGATTAACATGAAGTTATAATGCGTCGATGAGAGTCTGTTTATACCATAGATACTATTTTTTTATAAACCATACCGTAATGTGTGATTCCATACCGGGATCCAGAGTTGGATCAATTGTAATTATACTTGATGTAATTAATTACAGTTTTTCATGTAACTGTAATGTAATGGAGGCATTTTCATTCTGTGTGATTGTAATTGTAATTTGCTAAAATTTTGGCTCAATAACACTTTCAATTAGACTAAATCTTTTGAAAATGGATGAACATCAAACAAACTCTTCCGAAATCTGTGTTGAACCACTTCCTGCATCATTGTCAGAGTTTTTTTAAATCTTTGAGTAGCACTGAGGCATGCTGTAACAACTGCAAAAAGAAACTTAAGCTCTCAACTGCAAGGCTTCGTCAAACTTGATAACGCACTTGAAGCGATGTTCTCTCCATCTATGTCCTAAATACATAAACTTCGAAAGGAAACACCAGGAAAACACGATGAAGGCTAAGCTTGATCATAGGCAACCACCTATCAAGTCATTTTTTCTAACTTTTTCCCAGCGATGGCAGAAGATTCAAAAAAGAAAAGACCAAGAAAATCAGAAAGTGAAGTAGATAGCTATTTTGTGAAAGAAATTTTGCAATTTGATGAAGACCCATTAATGTATTGGAAGAAGAAATCAGAAGAATTTCCCACGCTTGCTTTTTTAGCCAAGGAATATTTGTGACTAACAGCAACATTAGCCCCGTCAGAAAGAGTTTTTTCAATAGCGGGTAACTTTTATGCGGCAAGAAGAAATTTATTGGGGTCAGAAACCATTCGCAGCCTAATTTTCATCAAGTGCAATCCAACAGTTTTTGAGCAAGTGAAAATGTAAATACAAACCAAAATGTTATAATTGTAATTGTAATTTGATATTTTTTGCACAAAGTAATTGTAATGTAATTGAAACATTTAAGGAAGTAATTGTAATTGAACTGAATTAATGTAATTGATCCAACTCTGCTGGGATCATTCAGATATCATACTTTTTGTATGGTTTTAGGCGTGATATAGACATGCATAAGAAAACTCATATGTTACAAAATTCCAAGAATATGGACGCTCGCTTTAAACTTAAGGCGACTTAAACTCTGCAGCCAGTTTTTCATATTTTATGTACATTGATTTTACCTTTTAATGAGTTCGGTAGCTATACCCCTCCGTTTGTTATCTGGTCTCACAGCTGTTAAAAAAAGCTCCATGTACTTTGTGGTGCCAGGCGTCGTTGTCAAGCTCGTCCCATAAAAATATAATATCATCTGAATATAAAACACAATTCCGGTATCCCAAAACGGCTCTAGAAAAATTCGCTGCAGGATATTAGGAAATCTCGCCGAAGGTAATTTTGCCGCATAGAAAAAATCGCCGCATGAAAAATCGCCGCGAGAGCATTTTGATGTAAAACAAATTTTTGTGATAAAAACAGTTAGGTTTTTGAAGTACCTTTTTATTTAAAAAAGATTCGTTATTTAAATCATACCCTAACCCCGATAAACCTAATTGTTTTTATAACAAATACTTGTTTTACAGCAAAATGCTCTTGTGGCGATTTTTCATGCGCGAATTTTCCTATGCGGCGAAATTTCCTGCTGCGAACTTTCCGGACACGTTCCAAAACTATTTTGATATAACAAATAATTTGATGTTGAACATTAATCTTGAATGATTATCTTCAAACTAAAATATAAAATGGATATTTTACAACAAAATATTATCAAGGCAGATTGTACATGCTTACAGTATTTCCTAATTGAAAGAGAATGAATTAAAAACCATGTTTATATCACATGTACGCAGGCAAAACACACTCATCGTGCTACCTCGTGGTCTTGGCGGATCCTTATTGACTGTTTCTCAATAACATAAGGAAGTGAAGGTAGTTGAGATTCGTTTTCCCCCAATAAGTTGATGACGATTCCAACAAGGTCACCCGTTTCTTTGTGATATGCACCAATACTAACATTTTGCCACAGAGCATTCTGAAATCTGAATAGAACATGATGGTAAAACAAACACCTGGTATGCTGGTTTTTCATAACTAATGAATGCAATCAAGCAATCGAAACATGTGCAAAAATCTTTTTCAACTGCGATACATGCAGAGCAGAGTCTGGATTATACAACCGAACGAATTTCTGAATTGAAAATATTAAACGGATATTTTTATTGAATATCGCCTCGGCTAAAATGAAATATAATCCGTAAACCAGAGGACACTTTTTAGAGCAATGAGGTATAGGACAACGTTAATATTCAACGTGGCAAAAATAATAAATGATCGAAAGTGGTAAAACTAATTTTGCTATTGAAGAGCTAGAACCTTAGGAGGTCTAAGATTCCCACGAATATTTGATCTATATATTAATATTCTCTGTACTCTATCACGAGCACTCGAAGATATGTACCCGTACCTTAACGTAGGGTGCAAACATGAGTCTTCCTTCATCCGGTGTTATCTGCAAATGGGTTGTCCATGGATCTCCGCCAACAAAATATTCGACCATAAATTCAGTGACCACTTCACAATCGGCGTCTTCCAACATACGATACTCATACTCCGCTTCACACATTATGTCATGATATTGAAAACTTATATATATATATGACACGATCCAAATTATATTCAAAATATTGAAACCTATATCTAAATTCACCTTAGGTCGCATTGATAGATTTACTCTGCTTATGAATAGATATGGAAATACTATTCTAGCCTAAACTAACTGACCCGAACTAATTTTTTTCATGATGAGTGGTAACCTAGTATTTTAGCTTTACAGCTTTTTGTGCTTATTGAAAACATTGAATATTCTGCATTCTAATAACTGCAATTTGTAGATTATATTCTTCGAGTTATTCTCTGATTGTATTTCTCTTAGTATCAATCAGCCTTCTAATACACAATCTCCCAACCGCACGATACATCGACCGTGACCTTGATCAATTTCTGTCATTGCACCATGTATCATCAGAAGAAGACAACTGTCAGTCAAGATTTATCAATACGACATGAAGAATGTGGTAAATTTACTATTTTCGTGTTAGTTGTAGGTTTCAAAAATATACAAAACAAAAAAAAAGTTCAAGCTCCTATCCATTCAAAATGTACTGTCATACCAGAGAATTAAGCTTTGATTGTTTGTGACCTTTTAGGTCACAGAACGATTGGACAGATTTGTTGATTTTTTGACATTTTTAACGTGCTAATTAGCGCGAAACTTTTCAACAAATTTGGTATGACCATCGTTATTTAGCAATTTTATATAGCCTCATTAAAAGGGTTAAATTGAAGACAGCAATCCACCACGATCAACGCAGGTTCGTTTTCTTTCAACGATAACTGTTTCAATATTATGAGGCAAAAAGTAGGACACTTTATGACATTTATTGGGTTCATGGCGACAACATCCTGAAAACGAATCCTATTACAGTCTAATTCAAAGCATATAGGTAATATTTCTGTTGGTCTACTGGTTCGACAATTAAAAACATTCTGCTCATAGATAGAGTATCATGACCCTACTGCTGTCCGGGTAAAGAATGAAGCAAAATGACAGCATAACGTCTGGTTAAGTTATGGTTTTAGCAAACATATCACGGATTCTAGACGCAACAACATTATTTTCGTCACTGCTTATTTTGTAGACAGAGTTGATATTGCACTTTTTAAAATGAACTTTTGCACCTTTTGAAGGTTTTTCGTGATCTATGAAAAGTTTGAATTTCACCTTCACATTTACGAATTATGCAAATTGTGTACTGTATGAAGTAAGTCGAACTATTTTGATGCCACTGGGGTAACGGAATCAGCGATTCATGCGCAAATAGTTTACTGAAATAGTACATAATAGTAAACAAGTACAAAACGAGAATATCGGTCAAAGACCGAAAACTTGTCGAACGAAAGTTAGGGGATCCCCCAAAACAGCGCTCTTACTCCATAGTGACACCTTGTGTCCCATCACTAATTAATTGATAACTCGCTAATTATACGACATAATTCGCCCAAAATCAATAGGCGCCTGGTACGAGATATGATGAATGCACATGCAAACTCTGCAGCAGATCCAATCTCGCTTTCGTGAGATATCGCGTGCATCTAACAGACAGACAAACAGACAAATACCTATCAACATACTTACCGATTAAAATCGATACTAACAACGTCATCGATTTTACACTCATATATCGAAAACTCCAATATCTAAAGAATAGATCTTGACAATGACGATCGCATGAATGTTTGAGTTGAAAAAACATTAAGCATCACTTTAAATGTGGAATATACGTAGCATGGAATATACGTATAACAACTATATAAGGTAGTTTTCTGACTTGATATGCAAATTTTTTCATGCTCCACGTAGCCATTCACTATTTCGATTAGTACTATTGCATGTTTATATTGAAGACTTTCTTTTTGTATTAACTGTTTTACCTTCACTCTTTTTGCATTATACATGTTCATTATAGAGATTACTAAAATATTAGAAATGTATAGCATTACATGAACATGAGTTTTCAGAATTTACAAAAACATATTCATTTCATTGTAATTTAGAAATAGAAACATAGCGTCCTATGAACCTATACACACTCTGCCTAATACCTTGTACATGAACCCAAAACAGATGGCTTAATATAAGATATAAGATAAATTGATGAAATAATTATGCTTTAATTAATATATAAATTAATTTTACTATACTCTTTAAATTTGTGACTGATTGAGAATAGATATTTTTGAACATGCTTTTATTCCGTTATTTTGACTGTTTCATCTTTTCGTTGATCATTGAAGTAACAAGTGAATGAATAATTGAAATATAAACTGACCAAGAGTGGGCAAGAACCATATATGCTAGATTTTTATTAAAATTTGAATAAAAGTGATTTGTTCTTAATTTAATCGGAAATATAATGAAACGCTATATTCTAGTGTTTAATTCAAAATACGTTGTTAGTCATGAGTTGCTTGCAGTTTTAATGAGGTTTTTTCAAATTTTCCTTAACATAAAAAGTTTGCATATAAAACGTTTACTACTCTAATACAACTCATTATGAGTATTTTTTGAAATTAGATAAGGTTCAATAATATATTCAGATTTAAAATCAAAAGGGATGTGCGGGCTCAAAATAAAGCTGTTCGGTTAATAATACAAGAAAATGTTCACGTTCATGTATATGGTTGAATTTAGATCTTTCACTGTGCTTGCGCTTGTAAATTTAGCAATCGGCATGCGTATGCGACCTCCATCGTCATTTGAAAGGCTTCCTCCGCAGAGAGAATACGCGTTTTCATACAACGCATGGCAAAAAGGAAGTGCTAATCAAATTTACCGATGACGTAATTTGCTTGGAACTGCAACAGATGCTACATCGACCTACTCTTTGTGATCCATTGTGTAATAATTTGTTCACGTTATAATTATATATACTGAAGTTCGTCAATGCAAAAAGGAAGACACAAGTCACTCTGATGGTTTTCGTCGCTAAGCAGTTGTTCTGCAGATCATCATCAATTTATTGGACACGAATTGTACATATGAATCGTTCTGTTATTGTGTTGTTGTTGTCCCTGTTCTCCATTTTATTTTTCTCATTTTGCTTCAATTATTGGAACAATTGCTTTAAAATTTGCAGTGGTAAAAGAATTTATTTCTCGCTAGAAGGCTATTACTTTTACTTAAGACGTTCTGTGGCCACTATGTGATTCGTTTTTCACTTCCAAATTTTGTGTGATGACCTCTATAAAATTATTAAAAATTATTTGTAGCAGTTCTGCCACCTCTATCGTGCTACATGCCCCGTGCTACGCGAAAGTCGGAAGTTTTTTTACCGTTCCCTACAGTAGACGAAGTGAGGTAAGATATTGTACAAGGTAAGGTACACTATTGCTTCGCTTTGTCTTTCGTGTCCATACATTTGAGCATCTCTCTCTTTAAAAATTCTGCTAGCGTATTCTGGTTCAAAATTGTTGACACATTGAGACACAGTCCTGTACGGTAGGCTAATATGTACGGTACCTAAAAATCGATCAGTTCATATTGCATTTACGTGTGGTGAGTAAAACAAATAATACAAAATGTATGATAATATCTTGGACACAACTTAACACGATGGGAAAATCTTTCAACAGGCCGGAACTGGTAATTTGCAGTTTTGCATCAGCCAGGGTACCGAGTTTGACTAAAGTAGTGTTTTAATTACCAATTTAATCTATTTTCTTGGTTGCTGTCGTACTTTTTGACAAATACACTTTTAGTCACATGTTTACACGCCAGCTATGGGTGTTTGATAAATTGCATTCTTTTAACTATTTGTTACTTGTTTTCCGCCTATCTCTAGTAGAATATCCACCATGCTTGCATTGGTATATCTACAATGAGTAAACTTTATTTGTTTCCATGATATTGGCATATCATTAGTTATGCCGAATATGTGAATGATAAGCTTTATAATACTCCAAGTTTAATTTTTGATAGGATTACACTGTAAAATATTATTTAACTAAACCGTATTTTCAAAAGTAGTGACTGGTCGTGAACAGTTCGATAAATAATTTACTAAGTAAGATTTATTGACATAAAGGCAAACATGCTTGCTGATATCACCAGAGTGAGAGTGATAGCGAGAAAGACAAATCATGCACTAAAATCGATGGCAATTACATTGGAACAAGATTAAATTTTGTAGTTTGTCAAATACCTATTTTGCGATGTTCGACAATAACAGACTTGATTGAAGCGGAGATCAGTCAAAATATGTTCAAAATACTTGATTCAAAAAGATAAAACAGAAGAAAAATATATATTTAAAATAACTAGGTTTGATGAAATTTCGGTGAAAAAATGAAAACGAAAGAATCAGACTCCTTGTCTCACTTTTTTAGATAGACTAAAAAACAAAAACTTTGATTTAGATATTTGTATGCGCATCTAAAACCAATAATAAAACCAGATTTCACAAGTATCTGAAAATCCCTTTCAAATTTTTTGCTGTATTGCTGTGAAATTTAATTTTATTAGAAACTGTCGTATGTGACGCGTATTATAAAAATCAGTAATATTTAATTATTTTATAATTAAATGAAATAGAAATTTGTTATTTGAAATGTTTGAATATATTTAACATCAAACAATTCTTTTTTCGCCATGATGCTTCATATCCTTCAATCATATATTTGCTGAACGTCATTCTCGGCAGGCGTTGTTGCAATTTAAAATTACCAGTATTCAAATGTGTGGTAATAATGCATACATGTAAATGATCGGTTTCAATATTGCAATAATATTTCCTGAGGAAATCTTATAAAACTTGTTTTTGGACCAAATAATTTTTTGGAATCGTATAACCGCATAAATATTTAAGTTTAGTTAATGGATTTTCGTTCACAATTCACATAGTCATCGATTTTTAGTTTGTTGTGTATAAGTACGATCCCTTCAATTTTGAATAATAACGGAGTGAAAAGTTACATTTCTGTGTAAAATATGAGAACTTTGTATTGTGTTAGGTTATTTCGAATAACCAAGAAACTTGTTTGA